ATTTCAGAGAGGAAGGGAGAGGGAAAGAGAGCTAGAAACATCAATGATGAGAGAGAGCCATTGATCGGCTACTTCAGCAATTCGGGCATGTGCCCTAACCGGGAATCAAATCATGACCTCCTGGTTCATAGGTCGGTGCTCAAACACTGAGCCACTCTGGGCTCTTTCTCTATTCTTAATACCTCCACCCAGTCTTGGACTCTCCTCCTTCCTACTCTCCCCTGGCCTACTCCAGGCCACACCTGTGTGCTCTATCAGCCCTTTGTTTCTGTCACAAAAGATCTTAAACAAATTTCTACTAAGGTGTTAATACAAATGGTGGCTTCAGGGCTATATTTACATTTTAACAAAGAACTCTAAGGGCGACTAAAACTTTAACCCAAGGAATGAATTCTTAGTAGTAGACTATTAAGCACCATAATGGGTCATGGGCATCAAATATTTAAGACAGAGATGCCTTCTCCTAGACTGCTCTTAAAGACCTCAGTTTTCTCCATGTATTTTGAAGCTCTATTTCTAGGTTCATATATGTTTGTAGTTGTTTATTTCTTCTTTATGAAATAGCCCTTTATCATTATAAAGTATCCTTCTTTGTCTTTATAGCAATTTGTATCTAAAATCTATTATTTATGATATTAGTATAGTCACAACAGTTCTCTGTCAGTTGCTGTTTGCATGGTGTATTATTCCATCTTTTAACTTTCAACCTATTTGTGCCTTTGAGTCTAAAATGATCCTCTTATAGACAGCATATAGTTGGATAGTGTTTTAAATCTATTCCTCCCATCTCTGCCTTTTAATTGGCAAGTTTAAACTGTTTACATTTAATGTAATTAGTAAATTAAGATTTATGCCTTCCATTTTGCTATTTCTTTTTTATATTTCAACTAGAGGCCCGGTGCACAAAATTCATGCAGGGGGGTCCCCTCAGCCCAGCCTGCACCCTCTCCAATCCAGCATCCCTCTCACAATCCTGGACAGCTGACTCCTAATCGCTCATCTGCCTTCCTGCCTGGTCACCCTAACTGCCCTCCCTGCCAGCCTGGTCACCTCTTACTGTCCCCCACTGCCGGCCCAGTCACCCCCAACTGCCCCCCTCTGCTGGCCTGGTAGCCCCTAACTGCACCCCCTGCCGGCCTGGTCACCCCCAACTACCTGCC